GAAGCTCAATGTTTTAAATAATTCGGTTGCAGTTGTTTTATTTTGCACTTAGAATTTAAGTGTAACATGCGAAATTGATGTATAAATATGTACGTGTAAATTTATATCACATTACACATGCCGTGATAGAATAGAATAATTTATTTCATATTATCAATGTCTCAATATTACAATTAAAAATACAATGTCAAGTGATAATATGATCGTCACTAACGCAAACAATAATAATGATTATAAAATAAAGTAATATAACTACTGCTTGTCTAAATACAACGAAGTCAAGTAAAACAAAATTACAATTGTTTCAAAAGATACTCATCAACACTGTTTATTTCATTATCCAACAAAAGGAGTTATAGTCGGGTATTAAACGTTTCGCCGTTTGTAACACTCCAGGTTTGTGAGTAGATGTTCATAGAATCGGGAACCTATTACCCGCGTATTTCTCATTGCCAGTTCGGTACGTTTGGCGACGGATTTTAGTTTTCCAGCGTTTCACAACGCTCGGCCTACGCCTGTACGTCGCTCATAAGTACTCAAGTTTTGACGCGCATAAACTATTATATCATAGATGTATTGTGAGTACGTCCTCATTATATAGTATTTTTAAAAACGTCTCTGCTGGACTGACCTTTTTTATACCTACTATAGTTCTTAGTGCACGTTTTTGAAAATTAAAAAGCATTCGGCTCAGTTGAGTTACCCCACAGTGCGATGCCGTATGACATCAATGAATGGAAATATGCTAATTACGTCTGCCTAAATACCACACTGGATACAAGAGGTCGCAGTTTCCTGAGTGCGTATGTAGCACTTACAAGTTTTTCACACAGAAGTCTCGATGTGTATATAGCCTAATAGTTTGACCTACTGCCTTTTAGGCAGAGACCGTGGGTTCGAATCTGCAACTCTGAGTTTCTCGGAAATTATACTTGAAATTTTATTTGAAATTTAACATAGGCTTTTCCGGTGAAGGGACACATTGTGATGAAACCTGCACTGCAGAAGATTCACAATCCTCGGAAAAGTGAAGTCCCCAACCCGAATTGTGCAAGCGTAGCAGACTATGACCTCAGCCCTCACCTGAGAGGAGACCCGATGATGATGACGTAATATAAAACTTATATCATTATTCAAGAAAAATATCTTCATTTTTAAAGCAGCTACAGCAGGCGCAAATACACGGAAAAGCGCATCATTTCACACCATATCCAATCCATACTTGCTTGGAAATCAGAGCCATACCACAATGTGAACTTATTTTTATGTAATAAATGATAAATAAAGCCGTGATAAATAAAAAATAAATAAATTTACATCTGTACTCATCATTTTAATATCGAAGGCTTAATATCCGTTTTTCGTTGAGGACACAATTGTTTTATAAACGACATTTCTTAGTAAATCAATATTATCATTAAACATTTTCAGAAGAAAAAACTACCGTCATATCAGGCTCTTTATCATGTTTTTTCTTGTTTGATAGCAGCAAAAGTAAATAGACACAAGGAACTCAATATGGGGTGTTTATTGAAACACGGGCTATCGCAGACTGGTTTATTCTTTGTAAGACACATTGGGGTAGTCAACATCATTTTCTATAAATACCGTACATTACATTTTTCTCCTCTTTAAATTGAACTATATGGAAACGAACCTTAGCTTATAATAACAATTAACACTTGTTTTAGATAGACTTAGTCCAACGAAGATTTATTTTCATCTTCGTTAACAACTATGTGTTTGTGTTATCCAGACATGCGGTTCAACATACGTGTTTACTTAACTACTTATTTTTAATATGGGACCGTAATGTCATAGGGTGCGTTCTTGAGCTTTGAGGTAGCGATCGAGTGCCGTTGATAGTACCAGCAGTGCCAGGCTCAAGCGCGGGCTCTGGCAGCATCGGCTTTCGTTCGTCCAATGTAGCGTCGCCCCGCTCCCCAGCGGGTGATGTAGCCGACTTAAAGGAGTCCTCTTCCCTATTTATTTCATTGACGATTGAGTTTTCGTTTGTAATAGATGATAACGAATAACGACAGTTCCTTGCGCTGTTGTTAATTATCATTTGATCGACATGTCTCTTACACTTGCCGCCATCTTTAGTCTGAACCACATACGACACCGGTCCCGTCCTATCCAAAACGATCGCGTCCCTCCACTTAACTTTATCAGCAGTATAGTCTAAAATCGTCACCGAGTCCCCCGAGTCTACGCTGGCTGGCGTATAGGCTGTGAGACCTCTGTGAAAAGTATTTGCGGGTAAGCGTGAGATAAATCGAACTTGAAGTATTGCTTCCCCCAAGGAGGGTAGTAAAATATCTTCAATACGCGGGAGTGGATAGTGAAAGTCCTTTAATAACGGGTTAACAGTAATTTTGTAATCTCCGCAGATGCGGATGTCACCGTTTTTTTTAACAATCGGAACAATAGGCGTTCCATAATCAGAACTCTCTACCTTCGTAATGACTTCGTCTCGTTGCAATCGTTCGACCGTCTCGCGCATAGCGAGCGGCAGTGGCCGCGCCTTTACAAAAACGGGAGTTTTGTCGGATAAATGGAACTGCATGCGCCTAGTACCTAGCCCACCAGCAAACACTTCCGGAAATTCTCTTAGTACAAAACAACATCATCGGGACCTTCCTCTTTTAAAATATGACAACATGACATATCCAGTTTTAACCGTCTAACCCACGTTCGACCCATAAGTGGGGGCCACTGTTTTTAATAACAAACCGCTGTAGATTTTGTATTATAGATGCATATGTAACTTTTACTACAATAAAACCCAACGGTTGGATGACGTTGCCAATAAGGTTAAGTTTCTTCTTTCTTATGGTAAGATGTGAAAACAGTTTATCATAACACTTAAGTGATATTGCCGAAATTCTGCTTCCCATGTCTACTTCAAAAACAATATCCTGTGCGTTCACTTTTAAACACACACGATACGGGCTATCTTCGCGATCACCACACATTTTATAAAACGCCTCACTGTCGTCTGAATCATTGATAAAGAACTGACCTTTCGACTTCGCTCCCTTGTCTCCAGCGTACTTACTGCACGCCGCCTTCAAATGACCTTTCTCTTAGCATTGGTCGCACGTATAATTCTTAAATCGGCACTTCGCTGCTGCATGCCCTGTGTGTCCACAGCGCGGGCAAGCGTGCTCGCCGCCGAAACCGCGCGACTCGCCCGCCGCGCCGGCAGAGCCGGCCGCGCCATCCACCGCAGCACAGCTAAAAGCTGTCGCTGGCGGTGCGGTCACACGCCGTCGGTGGCGCGCTGCCGCTACCCGGTGCAATCCCTCGATGCCACCACAAACACACAAACGATACCACCGCTGCGTGCTTGTCCGCATCTTCGAGCGCCAGCGCGAGCTCCACTGCACGTTTGTAATCTAAATTCTTTTCAGCGAAAAGCCTGGACCTCATATGCTCGCTGGCGAGTCCCGATACGAACTGATCTCTCAAACATACTTCTAGCGGACTAGTTTTGATTTCTTCGAATTCACAGGTTTTCGCTAAATGTTTTAAATTCTGTAAGTATTCCTTAATAGACTCGCCTTCCAGTTGCGTCCTCTGCCGAAATACATGGCGCTCTGCGATCTCCGACCATTGCGGTTCCAAGTGGTTTTAACTAATTTCTGTAATTCCTCGAAAGTTTTGTTTTCTGGCACCTCGGGAGCACACAAATCACACATTAACTCGTAACACTCTTCACCCACATGCGTCACTAGAACTGCCCCGTGCAATTTATTTTCAATTGCATCTAAAGGCATAAACTGTTGCACCCGTCTACAATATGCCATCCAGTTATGTTTACCGATCTCTGAAAATTGAAGCGTTGATTTTTCCTACAGGCATTTTAGGTCCGATGTAACGATGTAAATTTTTACTTAATTACCGCGACTGCGCCAAATGGGCTGTTTATTGAAACACGGACTATCGCAGACTGGTTTATTGTTTGTTAGACACATTGGAGGTAGTCAGCATCAGTTTCTATAAATACCGTACATTACACAATAGATATATGTTTCAACATGATTGAGGAACTCAAATAAAACGGTTAAAAGTACACACAATAAATAAGTGCATCGAAAAGATCGATGCGTAAGAGACATGTCAGAATCCTACGATTCAAGTAGAGGACCGTAGGCTCTTAACCTTATTATATAATTTGTAACTGTATAATCACCATCAAAATGTTGTTATTATTATGTTCTATTTGCTTTAAAAAACGTGCAATTTTAGCCACTAGTAGGGCACGACAGGGCGCGACTTTTATTCACATATTTCGCTTTACTTCACTCATGTGAAGCAAAGCGCTTAGTGCGCACGGGATGTATATCAACGACATAAGGATGGAGTGTTCTGGACCTTCTAGCCGATCGAAGGAGAAACGTTGAGGGTGTAACCAAATTGAAAAGTTCCTGTGCAATCTCCCCGAAATGTATCCGATAGAAAACCAACAAGCAGTCTACTTTTCTGCTATGGTCGAGATTTTGAAGTTCCGACTCCACAAGAGAGTTATTGTTTCTAAGTCTCTTTACCTTTCGCTCCACCGTATCCAAAGAAGCTAACTGGTAATGGTGGCAGCAGGTGGAGGCAAATCTAACACCACACTATTCAAATGTACACATTTTCAAAAATGTATCTTTAAAAACATTTGGATGGTGCCTAAAAAGTCATGTATGTATTGATTATCGTAATCAAAACAAAATAATTATTTTAACTTGCTAAACTTTGAATCGCCTTATCGTTGCATAACAATAAGCAATAACGTTGAGTTTTGGCGATATTACTCTTTACTTTATTTATCTATTAAACAATATTGTAAAACAAATATGGTGCAATCAGACGCTTAAAAATATCGAGTGTTTACCCGATACAAGGTCATGATGATAATGAAACGCGCTAGACTTGCGGCTACGCGTGTTATATAAACATTATGTCATCCACCGTTCGTGACTCACTTCACGTCTGTTATTCTAACCAAAATGACGTCTATGTTGATATTCATTTGTGTAATAAGTAGTGCGTTTTCTGCAAGGATATTAGGATTTTTTCCTATACCTTCAATTAGCCATCAAGTTGTATTCAGAGCTTATACTCAGGAATTAGCAAAAAGAGGGCATGAGCTGGTAATTATAACACCAAATCCTGCTTTGCCTAAAGAAAGACCTAAAGATAATATAACAGAAATAGATGTAGGTTTTTCTTATGAATACATAACTGATTATGTATCGAAAATTGATATATATAAAAGAGGAGTAATAGCCGATGTCGACACTGTAGCATATTCATTATACAAAGGATTTGTTCATCTTATACGTGAAGATTTAGAGTTTCCTGAAGTGAAGAAAATTGTGGAAGACAAAGATCAACATTTCGATTTGATAGTGACTGAAGGGATTTTGAGTCTGCCGTTGATTTTAAGTTACTTTCACAAAGCGCCTGTAATTCAAATAACATCATTTCACGCATCACCTGAGAACTGGGCAACGGTAGGCGCATTAACCGGTCATCCAGTTTTTTATCCAAATTTCAATAGGAACAAATTTGGAAAATTAAGTCTTATGGAAAGTGTACGAGAACTTTTTTACGAATTCAAGCTTAGATATGAATTTTGGAGAGTGAAAAATGAGGAGGACAGAATTATTAAAGAACTATATGGACTACAAGCACCAAGTATAGATGAGTTGAAAGACAATGTTGACATGTTATTTGTGAATACAAATGTAATGTTTGCAAACAATAGACCTGTACCTCCCAGTGTTGTTTATTTGGGAGCTCTGCATTTATTGCCTCTGAAAGAGATACCACAAGTAAGAACAGTTTCAAAAAACCTTTTACTTTCATATCACGTACTGTTTGTATTTTATGGTACTTATAACAAGGTAAATTCTGTATCGATTTCAGGACCTAAGAACTTACCTAGACAATTCAAAAACAGGAGTAGTATACGTAAGTCTAGGAACTAACGTACCCACTTCAAAATTGGATAAAGAAATGTTAGATGCCTTCCTAAATGCCTTCGAAAGTTTACCATATGATATTATATGGAAGGTTGATGGTGATCATTTGAAAGATTTGCCGAAAAATGTAAAGATTCAGAAATGGTTTCCACAAAGAGATTTGCTGGGTGAGTTGTCTGATGGATTTCTTTTGATAAAATACGGTTAATTTATTAAGCTGATTAGGTTTTGTTCTTTAATTACATATTACTGAATAGATGAACGGTTCCAATTGAACACAAGTTCGTTCCGTTTATTCCTTTGTCCATCATTTTTTTATCTCACTGGATCTCTTCGTACAGATTTATTACACAATGATATTATGTTATCCTCAAAAAAATATACATTTTTTATCAAAAATATATTTTAATTTCAGTACACCCAAACGTAAAAGTATTTATAACACAAGGTGGCCTCCAATCTACAGATGAAGCTATCGATGCAGGTGTACCTTTAGTTGGTATACCAATGCTAGGAGACCAATTTTTCAATGTCCACAAATACGTTGAGCTTGGTATTGGAGTTAAAGTAAACTCTATGACTATTACAGCTGAAGAGTTGACTGAAGCTGTCAACACTGTAATAAAGGATGGCAGGTGAGTGAATACGTGAAATTTGTTCAACTTAAATATCCAAGTCTTTATATAGCAAAGAATAATAAACAAAAATGAGAAATGAAAGATTTTTTTCAGATCTAACTCGCGTATATTTATTTTTTCAAACAAACCAACTTTTCGGGCCCTTTACAGTTACAGGTCCTATGATTACGGCTGACTTACTTGGTCGCGGAATCTATAAAGGGTCCGAAATGTTGGTTTCGTTGATTTAGATCTACTCTAAAAAAAATTGTTTCATTTCCTATAATATAACAATCGCAAAAACCTAAGAACTCGAGAAGAATGACAAATTTATTCAAAAACTTATGAATATTTACGGTTCTGCCAAATATCTCGTCCTTCTCTGCATGGACTACCGACAAAACCACGCCGCTTTTAGATTTTTAACAGAGTCTGGTGTAATGTGATAATATTTATGATAAAATAAAGAAAGCAAATGTAACGACAAGAGTTTTGTGAATAAATTCCGTTAAAATCATATTTTGTATCTCAACAGTTACAGAAAAAACATCCTACGGCTAAGATCAGTAATGCGCGACCAGCCCGAGAAGCCTATTCAACGTGCAATGTGGTGGACGGAGCATGTGCTGCGGCACGGTGGCGCACGGCATTTGCGTGCGCCCACGGCCAATATGTCCTGGGCACAATACCTCATGATAGATTTTATCCTCTCTATACTTCTTATAATCTTTGGGATACCCATAGCATGTTATATGGTTTTAAAGTCCTGTTTACGGATATTTTTTAAGAGTAAAAGTAGGAAGCATAAATTAAATTAAATACGTACCTTGTTAGATAATGATATATCACATTATTATGATAGTTTTAAATAAGAGCCTACGAAACAAAGAGTTTTTTTTTTTATATACGTACGACATTACGTACACTTACACCTGTATTCATACTGGCGCCCTTGGATTCCCGTTGGGGAAAGTAGAGACTATCGATCGCCACTTAGCACGATCCTAACAAACCTTTCTTGCCTCACTTACATTCATCAGCCTTTTTACATAGGTCCTCTCTTTCTTCCCAGCCTTTTTAAGAACACTCATTTAATCTAAGATTTTTTTCATGACTGTCTTCTTCCAATGATGCTTTCTACGTTAGCTCTATATTACATTTCTATTGTCAATCTACATTCATTCATCCGTTTCATGTTAATCGATACCAATATTGTATTATTAGCGCGATGTGTATGTAATATTTACTTAAGTAATATCACTTTCTGCATTTTTTTTACTCTATAAGTGCAATAAACAACATTTTAAGAAACTAATCGTGGCCTTGAAGTTGTTACTCTTTAGTCAAATGACAAAGGTACTTTTATTACCAAACTATCTTCACCCAAATTCTGTGCCTACAACAGTATACAAATAACTTAAAAAAATTCGATCGAAAAACTTAAACAGTCGCCACAAACACTTCGCCATCTATCATCGACGAGCTAAAGAGATAGAAAATAACATTCACAATTACGACACGGTAGCAAAAAGTGGATTTTGTGTGTGTGATGTGACAACGTACCAAAACAAGTTTTTATTTACCTAAATGCTATCATATCAGTCGATATAGGCGATTATTTTACTTCATCACTGCATGGTAATGTGATTTTGAATGACATAGATATCAAAGCATTTATTATGAGAAGTTGTGACATTTCTTTGTGAATTAAAAAAAATTTTTAATGTCTATAAGTCAAAACTGGACATGTTAGCTCCGAAGATATACTACCTAATGTTCCGTGTTGAATTTCCTTTGTGGCGGTTCGGTTTATAAAGATTTTTTCCAATAATCTTTAAATAAATGCAGCTGTAAAAGTGAACAAAAATACAACGAAAGCAGAACATACTCGTATCACAAAGTTTTTACGAACGAAGGTTCAGGAGACTTGTATTAAATTCCGATAATTAAGTAAAACTATTATAAATCATCTTCCACGGCTCAGCTACCGAACTTGGCCGCCGTTACCAAAAACGGCACTCTTTCCTACTCCGTTAGATACGCGGTGGTTTATATAATAAATGCGTGCATTGATTTATTTTTACGATAATGTTTCATATTGTATTCATTCCATTATTATTTGTCTGAAACTTATCTAAGTTGCTACGCCCATGCCTGCAAAATTGTTTTAAATATTGGATCCCACATACGGATCATCTTTAAGGAGGTCAATGCCGTGACCGATCAAGCTGGTCCAAAGCAGGTTTGGAACTTTTTCAGTGACATTGCAACACTGGTAAGTTTCGAGATGTTGGTACCTTAATTTTTTTATCTTTAAAAAATGTCAATACTGATAGTACTTATAATCAAAACCGATCAGAGGCGGCATTAAATAGATAAGTAATATTAACGCTTTGTCAATGTAAGTGAAAATGATAAGTATTACCGAAGCTATATATTTATCGGTAATTTTTGCTGGGACTCTATTCTTTTGTCATGTATTTGGCGCTTTATTTATGAATATAGTTGCCGTTGTTTTAGTCATGTGTGCTATAATTTTGCATATATATGCCAGTTATTTACATGAATTGGAAATAAATGACTTTTCAATACATGATAATACATAAAATGCAATAATTTATTTCGTATTTTTTTTGTTTTTATTTTGAACTTACTTAAAGCGCATGTCTTATTTACTAAACACTGTCAATTTGTGTTTTTTTTTAAACGTTTAACAAAAAATATTTTACTTTTCATAATGACTACTTTAGTAGCAGTAGAGCTTCTTGTGAAAGAGTTCGTCCAGGGAAGTACAGCCACGTTACCTATTTCTGCCGCCAAGCAGTAATATTAGCATTGCTGTTTTCCGGTTTTGAAGAGTACCTAATGGTACTGGTGAAATTACAGGCACATGAGACTTGTCAACTAATGTCTCAGAGTAACTGGCGCAGTGGCGGTGCCCCTCAAATTTTTGCAATTTAAAGTTCTGAGTGACAATGCAACTGTTATGGACAGGCCTGTAGCTTACCATACGGTGCATGACATGTCCGTCCAATCACTTGATATTATAAAAAAAGGCTAGAATGAGTTCTTTTTTTCACATTTAATTATTTTTAGGATGCTGTGAACTGGGGCTTTGAGTCGAGCTGCATTTCCAGTTCCCGGGCAATAATTGAGATTCTATACAGTTTCGAAAATTCTAGGAAAAACCAGACTTTCGGGACTATTTCATAAATAGATTTCTGTACTTGTAGGGATCACGGTTTTGATTATTTCAATTACAAAATTAAAAATTTAAACAATTTTTTTAAGCTTAACTTTAACATTAATTTGTCTGCGCCTACCTAATATACAATAGCAAACTTATGGTTAAGTGAAAGTAGTATTAAGGTTCAACCGCATCATAACGCAATGTTTTGTTGGGTCCGTTCGTTATGCGCCCTATATGCTCCCGGTTTGCGTTAGGTACGATTTAAAAGCTTTAATAAACTGTACTGGCAGACACAAAACTGAAATATTAGCCGCTATGAAACTAATTTGAAATAACCTGAATATAAAAAACTTTGTTTGTACACATGGTCAAATAAGTATCAAGTCACAATTATTTAAATCCTTTGTTTATACAGTAACGAGATCACATCACGATATCATTGTTTAAATCAAAATAAGCTTTTTTAACATTCCTTTTCTACTAATGTAAATAGTACAAGCCCTCCCTCCAGTGTAGTCCTCCAATGTAAACAATAATAATAATGTTAATCGACAATATTTTTGTATTATCATGGTATTTATCTACCATACAAGAGAATGAAGTGTATGTAATATCTATTTATATAATCGATGCAATATCGCTTTCTGCATATTTATTAATTTTATAAGCGTAATAAACAAAATTATAAGAAATTATTCGTGACCTTGAAGTTGATACTTTTTAGTCAGATGACACAGATACTTTTGTTAGCAAACTATCTTCACCCAATTACTTACTGTGAAGTTCAGTAACATAATTAAGTCGTTTATTGCGCCTACAATAGTATATAAGCATAACTTTAAAAAACATTTTTCGAAAAACTTAAACAGTCGTCACAAACACTCCGTCATCTGTCATCGACATTGAAAGAGACAGACAAGAATCCTTGGCATTAGTCACAACCATAGATTATCTATGGTCACAACTACGACACGGTAGAATATGTAAATAAAGATGTCTAGTATCGTAACACGTACTATCAGAGTTTCCTACGATAATCAACCTAAAATTCAGGAGCTCATAGCCTTTAGAAAGATAGACAGCTAATAACATGCGATCAAATTAAAGAGTATGGTAGTAATATCACGTGCGATACTCACTACTGAATATTGTATTTGACCGGTTAACCCGACGCCATTACAACTACGTTTACTTAGCTTGTTGTAAATGACAGCTGAAGTTTGTTTACTTTCAGATAATTACTTCATACTATCGTATTCAGTGTTGAATTTGCTTTATGGCGTCTCAGTTTATAAAAGATTTTCTCTTATAATCTTTAAATAAACAAAACGGCAAAGGTGAACGAAATTACAACAAAAAGCAGTGGTCTAAAAAAAGAAGGACACAACAAGAAATTCTTACGAACCAGGGAGCAGGAGATTTAGAATAAATTTTTACGTATATTATAAACCGTTTTCCACGGCTCAACAATCCAACTTGGCCTCCGTCACCAAAAACAATACTGTGGCCCTGTACTCCCGTTCTCCGAACCAAAATAGAAGGCAATGTCAAGTATGACGCTTCATTCGCATCACGTGTCTTTACATTTAGTCGAGTATTACATAGGTATTTGATAGTAATTGTTTTAGACGGATATCGGATGGAGAACCTTGTTGACTTAAGAAAGAAAATAAATACGCGTATATATTTATTCTTACGACAATATTCCATATTGTATGCATTTCATATTTAAGTTGTTGCGCCCACACTCGCACAAGCTTGCGAACTATTAGAATCCCACGCACGGGTCGTCTATAAAGAGGTTAAGACCGTAGCCGACCAATATGGTCCAAATTGGTTTTGGAATCTTTTCATTGACATTGCTACGCTTAAGTACAGCTAGTTTATTAATAACATCGAGTATATAACCAGAAATAGAGACGAAATGTCCTTTAATTTGTTTGAAAACTATTCTACCAAATCATTACGGTGACAACTGCGCTCCGATTGGCCAGCCCGAATTCGGAACAATTGACGGGTGACGTCAATTGTTTCACTTCATATCGCCTAGTTTAACTTGAGCTTTGCTATAATGGCTGAAAATTTAAAAATTACATAATATTTAATTAGGTACCGATTTCGTTACGTTTGTTTTGTAATTAGATGTTTTGCTGTTTTTCCCACACCACCGAATGGAACAGCCCCCCATTGTTAGAGATATTATGTTTATTACAATAAAGTAATATATGAAAAACACATAGACATAGAATGTTTTTGGAATATACGGAGACGTACGCACAGGTCAGTTGTTGACGCTGTACTATTTCAGCTTTCTAATTTGTGATTTAAGCGCAAATAAGAGTTGATATTTAATAGTGATATAAGGCCCATTTACCTGATGAGTAGCCAGTTATGAATGGCCCTTTGTTCGTCACTATTTCTGGTTATGTACTCGATGATTAATAAGTATAGGAAGTATAACTGGTATTTGCAATTTTAATAATAAAGAAAATTATGTATTAAAGTACGCACATCAAAAATTTCTAGCGATCAATCACAAAAGAATTCTCTCAAGCCTTTGATCCCTAAACATTTTTGAACAGTGTACATTATTATATTATGTTTCGTTCTTTGTATTTTAATTTAAATATATAAGTAATGTTAACTCTTTATCAATGTAAATGAAAATGTCTACTATTACAGACGCCATAATATGTATACTGGGAATATTTGCTTGTATTCTATTTTGGTCACTTAGTGAGTGATATAGTTTCCATTATTACACTGTGTTTTAGTGTTTTGTATGCATATGTCATTTACACGTATTAGAAATAGATAAGTATATAATATCGACGTTTAGCGAACAACACCGTATAAAAAATTTGGAGTATTTTTTTTGTATAATTTAAATGACGGGTCGAATAAGTCGAGTGCCTGGTGGTAAGCGACACGCCTGTCCATGATAGTTGCAGTGCCACTCAGAGCTTTAAACCACAAAGATCTAGATGGACGGACTCTGTCACGACGAGCTGTACTGCTGCTAAAAATGAAGTATTTTTTTAATTAAAGGGTTACGCAGAGTTACCAGTGAACGTGTTAAATTAATCACTTTGAAAAAAATATATAGTAAAATTTAGGATATACAATGGATATACACTGATTTTTATAGGGTGTAAAAACACGATTCCTAAATATTTTCACTATAGAAAAA